TTGTTGTGACTTAGATGATGATCAGATCACATTTTATGACCAATTTGTGCAGGAATCCATATCATTCCAAACGGTTCACATACTTTTTCTTGCAACTGTATCAACCAGACACATAGGCAACTTGACGGGCTTATGTTACAATAGATGGAGACCCCATGCTGGGGGCCTGTGTATAAATTCAGTGTGCCTTGACCTAATAAATCTGTTCTACTTCACCCTTCATTAAGTCTCGGCTAGTGTTTGGTCGAGCTAGCTATACAGTTATACTTTCCGCAGGACCCTTTTCCAGGGTGGGAAATTACGGATAGACCCCAGTCAAGCAGCGGTGTTTGGGGGCTGAAGCACTACAGGTGTCCCAGTTCTAGCTAGGAAGCGTACTAGGCGGAGGTACCCAGCTGGGGTACCAGGCGGTCCCGCACACTTTTCTATAATGAAGTTTGATTTTTAATACTGTACTCAGCTGCCATCACACACTGCCATGAACAGAAAGGCAGTCAGCATTTAATAAGATTTTGCCCAGAGCTTTCCTGTGGTATAAATTTATAAAGCTCAAAAAAGGGAAGTAATGCTTCTTTAAGGGGGAATACCACAGGAAATAAAATTATAAATATTTTGAGGCAGATTAACTGCTTTGTGACATGCAAGTTTTGCCATAATATAAATGGTAAGAGCCGGAGATTAAGGGGTGAAAATATTTTGACAAAGAACACATAGTAGTTTTGAGATAGTAAGGCTACGAATTCTATTTGAAACACAGTCTTATTAACATCACGCAGGGACTGTAGGTGGCATAAGCACTACACTGAGTTGTTTCTTCAACTTGCCTTTAATAACATTTACAGGGGTCATAGAAAAATGGCCGTACCACTTTACGTTTCTAACAAGCATACATTTATTTTTTTAAATACAAGTTCAATTCTCTTTTTGCTCTTTTTTATTGTAAGTGCACAGATCTATAACTTGCAGCCTTGTCTAGTTCTTTCATCCATTTAAATCAAGTTGTTTTCTTTAACATTTCTTATATTTGTTTATATAGTGCTCTTATATCCACAGCGTTTTATTTTATTAAATTTTTGCAATAAACAAACATACATGATTCCTGTTTGTTTGTTTGTTTGTTTGTTACTGTTTCACTATTTTTCTTTTTGATTGGTTTATGTTGCTCTGAAGATACGGTTCCAGGACTGGAAGAACTTTAGTGCGTCTGTTGCACGGGGTCTGTCTGAACCACTTTGCACAAATAGATTACTAACTGCTGTGGAGTATCTACACTCAGAGGTGAGTGTCCCTTTGGAGTAGTGCCTGGAAATAGTCTACCCAGTTTCAGAAATAGTGGAGTCATGGCCAACCTGCCACCTTATGAATCATGGGATGCAGCCTAACCTTAACTGTTATACTGTTATTGGACTCTAATTCTCTGTCAGATCGTATAGCTTAACATATTCACAAAAATACACACACAGTGGTCAGAGGGGATTTAGTACTATGTTTGTCAATTGTATCCATCAATGATTATTAACAGTTAAAATATTAAAGGACCACTATAGGCACCCAGACCACTTCAGCTTAATGAGGTGGTCTGGGTGCCTGGTCCATCTAGGATTAACCCTTTTTTCTATAAACTTAGCAGTTTCAGAGAAACTGCTATGTTTATGTTATGGTTAATCCAGCCTCTAGTGGCTGTCTCATTGACAGCCGCTAGAGGGCTTCCGCGTTTCTCACTGTGAAAATCACAGCGAGAAAACGCCAGCGACCATAGGAAAGCATTGTGAATGCTTTCCTATGGACTGGCTGAATGTGTGCGCGGCTCCTGCCGAAGAGGAGGACAAGAGGGAGGGAGGAGAGGAGGAGGAGAGCGTCAATGAGACAGCCACTAGAGGCTTTGGAGGCTGGATTAACCCATTTATAAACACAGCAGTTTCTCTCAAACTGCTATGTTTATAAAAAAAATGGGCTAATCCTAGAGGGACCTGCCATCCGGACCACTTCATTAAGCTGAAGTGGTCTGGGGGCCTACAGTGGTCCTTTAATACTTAGATCTCACTTGAAAGCATGATCATACAGTTAGTTTATTCTTTAGCTAAAGACAGGTTGGTGTTCTGTATTTTTCCTATTATCATTGAAGAATCTATAAAAATACACTATATTTGCATCATGTATAGTGGCTAAATCACTAACAAATTGATCTTTACTTTTAAATCTCTGTAATCTTACTGTGTAGTCATGTGTTTTGTCATAGAACGTTCATATCACTGTGTAATTTCTCGTTTGTTCTTGTTTTTCCAGTTGTTGTATCTGCCATGTTGCTCTAGATCAACAAAAAAACATACCCTGAATCCTGACTCCTCCCCTAACCCTGTCCACACATCTCAGGATGTGGCAAATGATTTATCTCATAATGTTAGTGCAACTTGCTTAGACATTATGTTCTGTATATGTCCCTCTGGCATACCAACTCCAACTGGACTAGTTATTTTAGACCTACCATGGCTACTGCAAGAGATATTTGGAAGGTTTGGTAACTTTTTACTTAGCCCAGCTTCAGGACGAGAGAAAGAATGCTGGAGCCTCTCTGAGGTGGAGTCAGCCTTGGAGCTTCAAGATGGTGAAGGTGACATTCAGACTGTTCTACAATTGCTGGAAACACTGGAGCTGTTGTTACAGACCTCTGAGGGGTATTATGTAGTGCCTGCTTGGTTGAAACGTGGGGGTCCTACAGAACACCTGGAATGGAAAAATTTAAAAGGGGTGGTCTATCACTGGCAAGAGACTAGCATGGGACTTTTTAACCGGTATCTAATTGGACAGCTCCAACTCTGGCTTCTACGTCAGTTTGGATCACATCGGTGTCACCTCTGGAGAGAGGGAGCCCAGTGTGTTGCAGAAGCCATGATAAAAATGGAGATATCAGAAGACAGGCGGTCTTTGTTCGTGACTGGGGGATGGGACAAGGAGTGCAGTGAGGGAGCATGCTATGAGCTCTTAGAGATGGTAGGGACAGAGGTGGAATGTTTGCTCAGAAAGTGTCAAGATCAAGGTTGGGAAAAGCTGCATCTAATTCCTAGAGAATTGTTTGCAATAAGTAGTGATGTAAGAATAGATCTCCAAAATGGCAAGGCCTTTAGGGTAAGAAGATTATCATTGGGCAGAGGTAAGGCTGAAGGACTTAGTGGTTTTAGCTGGGAGCAGATATTGAAGGCAGAGCGGGAATGTACAAGTCTTTATGGGAAATATGTGGAAGCAAAGCCATGGGAAATTTTGTTTCCCCAGCATGACCACAGAATGCTTTACCACCTGGGAAGAAAGTGCAGCATCCGCTGGCTAGATGGCAGTACACTGGCTAACCTTTGCTCAATGCTAGATACCTCTAACCCCTTGGGCCTAGATTGGAAAAGGCTTGCTCAGGAGCTCGGAGGAGCCTCCTGTTCAGTAGTTGATGAGCTTAATGATGAAGCAATTCGCAAAACTGTTTCACCAACCCGCTTGGTGATAGACAAATACTCACTGTCAGTGGAAAAGCTGTTCATTGCCTTAAAGCAAATGGAGAGGGAGGATTGCCAAGCTGAGATTGAAAACATGATGAAGCAGTTATGAAAGTACAGGTTGGTTGTAGCTCTACTGCCTGTAAATGTTATGTTTAATTAAAAAGTACTATTATGGAAAATCAATGTTTAGTTTATTAACTTTATTAACTGGCCCTTAATTTTATATATATATATAGGCATGTCAGAAACATGTGCCTCCCCCCTCCCCCCCACGTCTCTTTGTATAAGGAAGAAGCTGGCAAAACTGATTAAAATACTACATGAGTAGGAGCTTACTGAGTAGGGTTGCAGAAATGGGTTGTGGAAATGGATATAGCATGGAGCAGGGTAAGTTTTACAAAGTGATTTTGTGAGATTTACACAGGGCTACTTTACCCCAACATGTTCATCAGCTTGTGTACAAATCGAAGTCCTGTAACCACTGCTGGTTCCCCAATTTACCACTATAACGTCTTAAAGCATAGAATTTAGCAGGGTAAAAAGTACAGATATCTTGCCATAATATCTATTACTATATTTATACTATACCGTTCGTTCATATGAACAGTCCAAGCTCCTAGCGTAAGTCTTTGTTACAATTCACACGATATCCCTGTTCACTTATTTATACCTTATAAACCTACTATACCGTTTGTGCATACGAATGTTTCAAGCTCTTAACGTAACAGTCTTTCACATATTTTGTCTCATTTCATTTGTACACTTGTGTAATGGAATTGTAATGGAAGGTACCTTGACCCCAGGCTCAAGCTACTAAGATGACCGGATGTCCAGTCTGTTTTCAATTATGTTATGCTTTGAACTTTTAGTCTAGTTTCGAGTGTCTTGCAAGTAAGTATAAGTAAGCATAAAATCTTGACTTGTGACATTCTGTGGTTTCTGCAGCTTCACCTTCTGCCCCCCTTCTTATGTCCTAACTTATGTTCTAATGTTTTGTTATATATAACCATTGAAATAATCATAGTTCTGTATTTTCCTTTTATGGTACAGTGTGACTTCACGCTTCCTGTTTCTGTCGCGCAAGTCACAAAGCTGTTTTTACAAAGTAGTATATAATCTGTAAGCTTACACAATAAAAGAAGGAAGTAATCTTTGAATCAAAACTGTCTGGTCTGATCTGATTGCTTTATCCGAGCAGCTCGTAATAAAAGTGTCAATTTGGTTTCCACCTGAACATATCTCCAGGTAACTTTATATTCGTTTCACTTGCTAATTGCTTGTCCATCACTTTCATTCACCTAGCCTTTCGGGTAAATCAGCTCAATTATCATTTCGCCAGTTAATTTGTATGGTTCTAAGCTGCATGTATTCACTCCATGTCCTCTCTAAAAATTTAAAGGACCAATCATTTTTTCACTTCTACCACAATCTATTTATAAATGTTTAAATTTCTTTCCGGTTACACCAATGCCCCGACCTTAGTAACACTTTTACATACCCCTCTCCCTCCCCCCACCCTCCTGAGACCACAACATTTCATCTTCTCAAATTTGTCTTAAAGGTTTATTTCTGTTATGAGAAATTATGCAAATCGCAGTCCAAGCATGCTTTTCGTTCACATGGTTTAACCTTGAATTAAATCACCACGTTCACAGTTTAACATCACTCAATGTAATGGCAGTAGGGTCTTTTCCCCACTTCTTTTTACCATGGTCACACAATCAAATCTCTCAGTAGTTTCTCTATTATATGTTACTTAGCTTTATGTCATGATTTTAGGCTCTTCGAATCATCAAGCATACATATGTGGATTGTCAACCTGGTATCCTGTCATACTGTATCAGGTATTGTCATCTTGCTCATCACCTTTTTATCATATACTCAAGGCCTCACCCAGCCTCACCTGGTTATGTAACCCCTCTCCCCTCCCCGTTGGGTATCTAGAAGACTGTCTCCACGCATGGACCAACGGCCAAGTCCCCCCACAATTGAACCTACCTATACGTTTTCTGCACAGAGTAAATGACTGTTCATCACATTATCTGTTGTTCCCACTTACGTTACTTAGCTCTGTGTCATAAGTTCAGGCTCCTCGTATTGCTACGCATACAAATACGGACTGTCAACCTGGTATTCTGGCATTCATTACCAGGTATTACAATCTTACTCAATACGATTACTTCATCTTCTCAAGGCCTCACTCAGCCTTCCCTCGTTACGTTCCCCCAAAGTTGTAACCAGGGGCTTGTCTCTAAGTATCGACCAACGTTCTGGTCCCTCACCGTACACGTATCCATACGTTATCTTTACATAGTGTATGATAATTCTTTGCACTGCTTGTTTTGTCTACTCTCACAAACCCTGTACATACTATTTGCACGCTCAAAGCCCACTAGCATCTATCTTACCCCTCCGGCCAAGGCAGCAACTCATCTGGCCCAATTTAACATCCGAATAGACTGGTGCCAGATGCACACGGAGTTGTTCTGCCAACACTTTGCCGGCTTGAGGCCCCCGTCCTGTGCAGCATGTAGTTCCACGTCTCATTCCACTGATTTGTGCCCCTGTGAGGCTGATCCCTCCTCTCCCCACCACACCTTTAGCGCCAACACAAGGCAAGAAAGCGGGCAGAGGGACAAACTGGGCAGACCCATTGTGTTTCTGGGCAAGGTGCAGGTGTGCAACAATTTAAATGCTGGTGCCTGCACATCTGCTCCATTTGCTTCAGAGCTCACACTAAGACCATGTGCCCAGTCAGGCTTTCCCCCAAGAAATGACTGACCGAGGTTAATATAGATGTTGTGGCCTACTACCTCTGTTACCACACCGCCATTCATTTAATGGATTTCTTTGGCAACAGGGTTCTCACAGGGTTTCCACACGGGTCTCATTGCCATCCCCACAGGCACCTTAGAATGCCCAAATTGTTGTCAGCCTCTAATGACCCTCATACAGTGGACCACCTCCTATCCACAGAAACCCAGGCAGGTTTCATGATTGGCCCTTTTTCATAACACCCCTTCTCGTCCTGGCATAAAAAACCCCATTGGGGTAGCTGTAAACAAATACACCAATAAAAAACGCTTAATAATCGATCTGTCAGCTCTTCATTTTTCATATACCCCCAGCATTAACTCACTCATACCCGCAGAAGAGTTTTCACTACAGTATGCCATGATTGACAATGCTATGCAAGCCATCATCATAGCAGGCAGCAAAGCATGGCTGAGTAAAACGGATAACACAAATGCTTCCAAGCTGCTACCTATTCACCTGTCACTGTGGCACTTACATGGCGTAAAATGGAGGGGCAGATATTATTTTCCTACACGACTCACCTTTGGTTCTAGGAGCAGCCCTAAGCTATTTGACATTTTCGCTGAAACACTCTGCTGGCTGCTCCTGAACATAGTCAGGTGTCCATCAGTTATTCACTATTTACACAATTTTTTGTTGCTGGAAACTGGCTCCCATGCACCTAGTAGCATTCACAGAACCACAGCCACTTCACATCACTGGGGGTGCCCCTGTCCCCAAACAAAACACTGGGGCTCACCACCAAACTAGTCTTCTTGGGTATTGCACTGGACGCAGTTTAATTCCAGGCTAGCCTCCCACAAGAGAAATTGGCCCGCATTAGAGACGATCTGTTCCTTCGGAGTGATACGTGCACTAGGAAAGGACTCCAATCTTTATTGGGGTCCCTTAACTTCACTATACGGATCATTCCACAGGGATCATTCATCTCAAGGCTGCTGTGTCTCCTACACGGGGTACCCGACACCGCTACTATTACCTTAAACGCACCTGCCAGGGCAGACTTGATCATGTAGAGGAATTTCACGTTGGAGTGGAATGGAGTCTCCCTGTTCATTCCCCCACTATCCGACCAATCTCCAATAATTTACACCGACGCAGCAGCACATTTTTGCACCTTAGAATCTCTATGGTCCATATTAATTGGACTGATGTAATTACACACCACTACTTTATTGCAATATTTCGTTTTATATTGTTAGAGAGCCCAGAGTAGTCTCTGCGGTTCTCACATATTCAATTATTTTATTTATTTACTACATTCACATATTCTTTTGTTTATCCTAGTTTTTATATATATTTTTTACTTTTTATATTTATTCATCCTATTTATATACCAGTATCTATGTGTATCTCACTCCACCCATTTTTTACATTACATCATCTAAGGTTATCGTAATGTACACTGATCGATACAATCTAACATTTTCCAATTTGACTCTTACTATGCAATCTGATTCCCTGCTTTTATATATTCTCACAATATAATAGTGATTTATCTTAACTATTTTATTTTCTGCGGTCACCGTACTGCCCATTGATCGAAAAAAAATCTATTACAGACATTTTTGCATACCATTTAATGTGATTCTCCTTACCAATCAGATTCCCCGTTTTGATACATTTTTATAACATTTTAGTGATAATTCAATAAATTATACGGCAAATTGACTATTAATATTATTCCCTCTATGTTCTCAAACCCTGCATAAGTTTTTTAAGCACTCCTATACAGTGATTTTCAACGGTATATCCATCATTATTTAAAATTCCAAACCACTAAGTTCTTTAAACAATTTTCTAATAATATAATTTTTCCTTTGGTTTTATTCCTTTTGTATGTTTTAACTTTTATATATGCATGTATTCTATAAGTATTACATTTATGTTTTAACATCAAGTCACACACGAAGATCATTTGTTCGTTTATTAGTCCTGTATATAAGATGCACATCAGGACACAGCTCTATTATGTCTCTGATGAAGTGGGGCTGACACCCACGAAACGCGTAAGACAAGCAGTGAGCAGGATACGAATACAGTTTGAAGCCGGCAGAAGGAACTCCTCTTCTCCCCGCACATCATCTATGATCTGGGGACCGACGGACTGTCAGTATCTACCATCCAAAGTGAGGTTTGGGACGCACGCCAACCTCACAGACAGCCGTCAAGTACAGCAATTTCTCTTTGATACAAAGTATCCACTGTAATCCTAAGCGGTCCCAGCGGTTATTATGTTAAAAGGACAATCATTCTGCTGGCAATATACTTGTTAATTGTTTCTGGCTTTCATTTTATTATTTTTTTACTTGCATTATATTTTTTACTTACAACATTTTTTATACATGTTTTTAATATACTATGAATAAATTCTTATATCATTTTTTAAATATTTCTATTTTTTGAATAGTGTTTTTTTGGAATTTCATCTTCTAATCCATATTTTAAGCGATTTCAATATAATACTAAGAAATGTAAATAAGAAATCCATAAATCTCCATACTGCAAGCTAAGCACTGATTTGCACTATTTAGTCTGCTGTTAGCAGATTTAAAGAGATATACACTATCTTTTGTATAACTGTGTATATAATAATACCAAACAGACAACTACTTTTCATGTTGTTGTCCTGTAATAAATAGTTGCTTTCTATTAAGCAGACCATTTGGTGTGTAACAGATAGAATCTGCCTTTAGCAGATTTAAAGGTATACACACCACACATATTGTATACATTGGTAATCATCAACCGTTCCAGATTTCGATATAACCATATATCTAGTTCCATTGAATAAGCCATTTAAAAGTGAATTAGCTCCTGAACACACTACCTTGAATTAAGGTATTACTGTCCTCTATGTGTTATCTTATATTTATATTTTTAATATATATAAAAAGGAAAATAGCATAACCCTCCCTTGGTTATACTTTGGGTATTACACATTGTTGTGCTGCCATGGATATGGCCAGGAAAAAGGAAAATGTATTCCTACTTACCGTAAGTTTCTTTTCCTGGTCATAGACCATGGCAGCACAAAGATCCCACCCTGGCATATTGCTGGAAACAAGACTGAGGGTGGGAGGGGTGGGAGGGGTAGGAGGGGTTACCTTTACCTTCTGTTTTAATTTGGTTTCTGTCTGGTTAAGGATAGCGAGGAGCTACCCACTGTTGTGCGGCCATGGAAATATATATACGTATAGGAATGTATTGGAGGCTGAATGTCCCAAAGGTTTTATAAGTTGTATGTAACTTTAAGAGACTGACAAGGGTTATACCAGCACTTTAGACTGACATAAGTGCCTTGATGTGCAAACTAGAATCTTCGGGGATCCGCTAATCAGATGATTTATTTACATGGAGATCAGCCTATATTAGACCTTCTCCAAGATGGCAGTATTAGACTCATTCATCCTGAGGAAGCCGGGTAGTTCCGGCGAAATGCACGTTCCATGTACAGAACATACATACTGTTTCTTCCTATATAGACTGCACCATCCCAGAGGAGTACAGCTTATCCAATGAACTCCACTCTGATTAAGCCTGGCAGTGCGTAATGGTGGAAACCATATTTACTCACCACGCTACTCTGAAAAATGTGTCCATACGCAACTTTGTGAGTACTACCAACAATTAAACTATCTGACCCCTGATCAATCTGGCTTTCGCCAGAATCACTCCACTACAACTGCCCTCCTAAAAGTTTGCAATGACATTCAAACTGGCATGGAACAAGAAGCCCTAACTGGAGCTATTTTCCTTGATTTTGCTAAGGCCTTTGACACAGTAGACCACGACATTCTACTGCACAAACTCGAAAACTCAGGTATTGGTGATCATTCTTTAAACTGGTTTCGATCGTATGTATCGGATCGCTCGCAATATGTGTCTATTTCTGACAGTGACTCCCTCCCTCTCCCAGTCACGTGTGGTGTTCCCCAGGGTTCCATTCTCGGCCCCCTACTATTTACATTATTTATAAATGATCTGCCTAATGTCTGCCAATCCTCAAATGTACACATGTACGCAGATGACACGGTAATCTATGCGAGCAAATCCAATCTACCGCAACTTGAGGCTTTGCTCCAAGACCAGTTTACAGAGGTAGAAAAGTGGATCGCAAAAAACAAACTCTTCCTGAACACTGACAAAACTGTCACAATGATCTTTGGAACAGTACCTAAATTACACAAATTACACAATCCCCACCTATACATCAAAACAAATTCAAATGGCACACTGACCGCAGTCCACTCTTTCAAATACTTGGGTATGATATTAGACCCCAATCTATCTTTTGGCCTGCACATAGAAAAGCTTGCATCTAAACTTTATCCAAAATTAGGTGCCATGTACAGAAACAAAGCCTGCCTAAGCCCTACAGTAAAGGAAAAGATTGTACAGCAAATGCTGATGCCAATCATTGATTATGGGGATGTAGTATATGCGTCTGCATCGCAATCCCACATTAATAAACTCAACACATTGTATAACTCGTTCTGCCGATTTGTGCTACAATGTAATTACAGGACCCATCATTGTGACATGCTAAAGGAACTAAACTGGCTGTCGCTGGAATCCAGACGCACCCTTCATCTTTCCAGCCTTGTTTTTAAGAGCTTTTCTGGGAAACTCCCACCCTACCTGAGCAAAATGCTTTCCCCAGCTGTTCCCACTTTCTATAAGCTCCGATCCAGTACAAGCACTTTACTTAGTCTACCTCAATACAAAAAGAAAGCGGCCCGATCCTCCTTCTCCTACAGAGCACCGCAATTGTGGAACGACCTCCCGCACAATTTAAAATCTTCCCTAAGCCTAAAGTCATTTAAGAGATCCCTCTCTACATACCTCAAAACAGAATGCACGTGTCATGGTTGATTATATATTTCCTGCCTGTTCTATGTTAAATTTTGTATATATTGTGTATTCATATTGTTTTTGTATTTTGTTGTACCTAATGTAACAATGCAATGATTTGTGGACCCAGGACATACTTGAAAACGAGAGAAATCTCAATGTATCTTTCCTGGTAAAATATTTTATAAATAAATAAATAAAAGAGACAATAAAAACGGCACACTCTAAAAGTGCCTTATTATATTGATTTTATCTATAATAAAGTATATTTTGTGTGCGAACAGCTTTTTCCATATACTCATTAGGGGCACATTTTGCACATAGAAATATTCAATTAATTTTATATCATTTTTATATTCATTATTTTATTTTTGATATCCAGCAAGACAATCTGCACTATTCTCTGTCTTTTTTTTGTCTTTTCTCTTTTATATTCGTATTAAATGAAAAAACATTTGATGCCATCTACTGGTCATAAGTATAATATGGCAATATATATTTTTATATTTTGGTGTGGGATCTTTTGCCTAATTATTGTTCCACTTTTTTTTACTATTTTATTCTTAGGAGCGATATTTTGTTTTAATTATTGTCTTCCCCATCCCTTTATAAATATATTATTATGTTATTATAAGCAGTGGCGGATCCAGGGGGGGGGCAACGGGGCAATTGCCCCCCCCGAGAAATCCGACAGTCTCCCTCTCCTGTCAGCACATGCAGGTGCCAGCCCTGCAATGTGCCTGCAGACCGGAGGGGAGATCACAGATCTCCCTCCCCGGTCCGCAGGCACTGTGCTGGCGGCCGGCGGGGGAGGGAGAGGGAGTGAGAGAGAGGACCCGGAGCTCAGGCTGCGGCTCCTCCGGGTCCTCCTCTCGCGAGATTTGGAGCGTTACCACGGCAACGCTCCAAATCTCGCGAGAGTGAACTCTAGCCCAGGAGCGCGGGCTAGAGTTCACTCTCCCCACTGGACCACCAGGGATTCCCCCACCGGACCACCAGGGAAATGTCCCCCCTCCCCCCAGTAAAGGTAAGAAGGGAGGGGGGACATAGAATATTTATATTAAAAATTCAAATAAAAATTATATATTTAAAAAAAAAAAGCCCCCCTACCCTTATCACACACACACACTTTACACACATACACTGCCCCCCATACACACACATTGCCTCCCATACTGCCCCCCCATACACCCATACTGCACCCCATACACACACTGCCCCCCCATACTGCCCCCATACACACACATTGCCCCCCATACACCCATACTGCCCCCCATATACACA